GCCCCGCCGGCGCTGACGGCCGCTGTCTCTGTCCCCACGGATAAGCCCCCGCTACCTGCAGAGCTGCAGCGTCATCTACGCAGGGCCCTTCAGTGCCGTGGCCGAGCTGCTTCGTAAGCACCGGGCACCATGGGGAGAGGGGCCCCAGCAGGGCCTTGCCCCCGGACAGGGCTGGGTGCACCCTGACAGCAAGTTGGTGGCCTGTGGCTGGGCTTCGGCCCAGACCCCAGGCTGGCTGGGAGGCATCAACGCAAGCTGTGGTGTGTTTTAAAAAAAAAAACAACACGTGGATTTACTAAGTGGCCTCTCCATAACGTGTGTGATGTGCTGAGGAGATGTGGAGAACATGAGACTTCATTAGTTGCTGCGGTGATTGCTGGGTGGGTTCGCACAGCTTGCCTGCAACTTCCTCAGCCTTGGCAGCAGTGGTCCCTGCTTGTCGGCATCGAGCTGACATCGCGGCATGTCCCCATGTGCTTTGTGCCACCTGGCTCTGGCACACCTGCCCCACCTCATCGCTGGGAAGGGTGTTCCTTGCTGCCAAGGCGTTTAGCCAGTGTGCCACCTCCCTTCCCAGACACAACCTCCTGTTTGGAAGAGAGGAGGTTTGGGAAGCTGCTTTTGCTCCCTGGAACTGACCTGAGGGCAAAGAGGGCTTGGGAGGGAATGAGGGTGAAATATCGTTATTCCTTACTGCCCAGATTTCTTCTTTCCTTAGACAATGCTTTGTATCGCAGTGTGACAGCTAAGCTTTTCTGTATTGATGTTGCAGAGCTCAAGGGTCACCTTTGTCTAACTTTTACAGATAATGGGGCAGGAATGACTCCTCACAAACTCTACTGCATGTTCAGGTAATGAGCTATGATCCCTCCCACACCCAGCTGCTGGGCTGGATTCTCCTCTCTCCTACGAGCATTGCCACTGTCCTTTGGCTTCCTATTGTAAGCATCCAGCATTAATGTATAAACCTCTCCCTGCTTCTTCTTTACCTTCCCAGTATGCAGCGGTGCAAAATAACTGCTCTTATACATGTAGACAATCTGCCTCAATGTGTAATGGGTGGTCTAGCAAACTTTTTGCTTGTCATTAACCACCCTAACATAAGCCATTTGGCTCCTTGTGTGCAAATTGTGTAACAAGCAGAGGAGGTGCTTTTGTGCTGGGACATGGAGAAGGTCTGCATAAAACTGAACATATGTGCCTGAAGTCAAACCAAGAGTCCTTTTCTGTAGACTCATGTTACAGAGGAGTTTCCCCTCTTATCTGTCCTACCCTATGGATGCGGAAATGAGTCATGGCTTTAAAGGACGTGTTTATATCATGTTAATCTTTCTATGTGAAGTATTTTTCTATAGCAATGAGAGAGAATGAGGCAGGCTAATGGCAAGAGATTTAAAGTGTCATATTGTGTGATAAGGAATTTCAGTTCAGTAGGACTTGTCTTTTAATTGCACAACTAACTTCAATGAAAATGGGTTTTAAGCTTTTACTTGAACAATCAGTGATGCGAGCCTTACAGAGAGGGTATAACTTTACCAGGGCATTTTGAACCCAAACACAGAAAGGCTTTGCCAGGATGAGGCTTTTTTGCCAAAGCAGCTCTGCCTTCTTGATGCTCCTTTGGTTGCCTCTTGGACTAGAGGTTTTTAAGGCTGGAGGAAGGAGTCTTTTGATATGAAACTCCTGTCCTTTCTCTTTTGCTATAGCTTATCTGCAGGGGTGAAGGGGCTGGAGCTTGGTTTTATTTCTGTCCGACCATTCTGTTTGATATAAGCAAAATGCGGGGGAGCAAAGCAGAGAAAATTGTTTCTTTAAATGCAGAAGACACATAACCACAGCGCTTCAGAAAAGTGAGTGGGGTTCAGGAAATAAAAAACAGAGGCCCTGTCCCCTTCCTGCCCTGTCATTGTGTGCAGTGGAGGAGGGCTGTCCCCTTGCTGGTACAAACCATCCCAGAGGGGACAGTGAGAGGTGGGGCTTGGTGCAGAATTATGAAGAACAAGCACGGGGTTTCCCGGGCTGGCTGTTGGCCTGGGCATGCAGTGCTGGAAACAGATTGCCTTGCTCCTCTGCTTCTTCATTTCCCTGTCTGTAATGTAAAAAATGTTGTGGAGGTGCTTAGGGTAAATTAGGGTTTGGAGTCCTTCCCTAGGTGCTAAAGAAATCCTCCTTGTGAGTAACTTTTCCTGACCATTTATGTGGTTCTTCAGTGGTGAAGGCAGTATAGGACTGGCAGGATTTGGCTTCTTTACCAGCACTGCAGCCATCCCGAGTCTTCTCTGTTGAACAGGAGCTAAGCTCCCTTTGAAAAAGTTAAGAGCGGTAATGTGGACCTGTGCCTGGAGTGAGGCAGGCACTCCCTATTTCCAGCCCCTTTCTGCTTTGCTTGCTTTCAGCTTCGGTTTCATGGAGAAGGCTGTGAAGAGAGACCACCCATCCATTGGATTCTATGGCTTCAAGTCTGGCTCCATGTGGCTGGGGAAGGATGCCATCATCTTCACCAAGACTGGAGGGGCTCTCAGTGTGGGGCTGCTTTCCCAGACCTACATGGACTGTGTCCATGCTGAGACAGTGATTATCCCACTGGTGTCATTCAACCAGCAAAATGGTATCCTCCTTTGGCCGAGTGGCTGAGCTGCTACCCTCCTCCAAAGGGACATGGGGGGCCAGTGGCACTGCCACAATGCTGAGGGCACAGGCTGCCTGTGGCTGTCCCTTGCCCATGTGTGCACAGCACAATGTTTGGAGAGGGTGAGAATAACTGTCATCAGTGCTGCACCTGGAGAATCCTTGCGGCAGGCCTTGCTGCTAACATACTGCCATACAGCATTATTCCCTTTTCCTTGGGCTAGAACTTGTTGTGTGTCTGCCTGGGGGCATCTTCTGCTAACCTGGCTCCTGGAAAGCCTTTGCAGTTATGCCACCAACCTATGTGCTACCTGTTTCTGTCCCTTTCCCCCTGCCATGCAGACCCATGTACACATCTCTGGTCCAGGAGCTCTGCTCTCTGCTGCTTTTCTGCACCTGTAATGGCCTTTGGTGCTGCCTGGGCATGCTGGCATGCTTCCAGGCTGTGTTTCCTTCATGCCAAAGGGAGTTGAGAATATACAGCTGCTAGGCACCACTTGTATATTATCAGCTGGCATGACATTGCTGCCCCTGACTCAGCTTGATTCTTTTAAGTGTTTTTCTTCAAAGCATCCTACTGTCATGTCTGTCCTGGCTCAGTCTTTCTCTGAGACCATCCTCCTGTAGTCTCTCCTGTGTCACACTTCTCTGGAGTGTCAGGCCTGTGGCCAGGTCTTTGCAGCTGCATTTTTTTGTGCCCCTGTGGCAAAAGGGAGGTAGGGCAACCCTGTTCTCCTTGACTCTGTGGCTTCTAGAGAAAGTGATTGTTACTGAAGACTCTGTGCCTAGCCTGGAGGCCATTCTGGAGCATACCCTCTTCAACACCAGGGAGGAGCTGCTGGCACAGTTTGATGCTGTTCCAGGTAAAAAGGGCATGCGCATCCTCATCTGGAACATTCACAGGTATGGGGCTGGGGCGTGCAGTGAGGCAGTGGTGCCCCGAGGATGGGCAAGAGCTAAAGGCAGAGACAGCTTCAGGACAGCGCCTGGCCTGGGTGGTCTAAGCCCACTGTCATCCACCCTGGCCACTGGAGGAACAAATGCAGGGATTTCTCCCTTCTCCCTCTGTATGACTGAGTGCTTGGGGTGCCATGCTGGGAGTTAGGAGAGATGGGTCTAGTTCTGTCTGTTACAGGCATGCTCTTTTTTTCAGAGGAAACCAATTAATACATTTACTTCCTTTTCCCATCTGTGCAATGGAACTTCCATATTTCTGTGTTATCAAGACTGTTCTGAAGTGTTCTGTTACTTTGGTGTTTTGCACAGAAATATGTGTAATTAAATGAGTGACTAATGGAGTGTGTGAAATACGCTGTTTTGTCTGCTCCTCAGAGCAGAACTTCCCCTTGGAATCCTGATACAGAAGAGCAGACCAGGGTGCTGATGATTGGAGGAGATTGTCTTTATTTTTGTGTTTGTTTTTTTTCAGAAATAAAGATGGGAAGCTGGAGCTGGATTTTGATACGGATGAGCATGATATTGGGATAGCAGACTTCCTTGCAGGCGATGGGGAGATTCCCAGCAGAAAGGTTCTGCACTCTCAGAATATGGTTCCAGAGTTTCCTGGTCCAGAGATGGAGTAAGTTGGTGAGAGCTGAAAGGGAGCAGGATGGCCCTTCCCCAGCTTTGTTCTGTGCATGACTCACAGGGGATGAAAGACATAATATCCAAACTAGATTTTGGGTTCACCTGGAAAAGACTACATGTGACTAGAATTCTCCTGCCTCTTCTCTTATGCTGTCCCCTCTCCCAGGCATACTGCAATATCTTGCACCTGAAGCCTCGCGTGCAGATTGTCCTGCAACAAGAAGGTGAACTGATCACCAAGAGCCTGGCCAACATTGAATATGATTTTTACAAGCCAAGATTCATTGTATCCTCCCTGCCACCTCTTGGCACTCTGCTCCCACAGCAACCTCAGAACACTGAGGGGTTCCAGACCAACCTCGCAGCTGGGCTCAGGCCTGTCTGGTCTGATGCATAGAAAAACCCAGGATTTAAATGAATAGAGAGGCTGAATTATCTTCTCCTTCTTATCTTCTGGTCACCTTTGAAAAGCCAAATCCTGATGTGAAGCTTAGAAGGGAGCCCTCAAAGCTGCTTCTGCCAGAGCAGAGGGTGATAGGGCTCACGGCTCACCGTGTACGTGAGCCAGTTCCTGCCATACCCCAAGGCTGATGTGCTGTGTCAGGGAAGAATGAGGTGGAGAAAGGCTTGAGGTTTTTGCTGACTGGTCAGTTTTGCTTGGGAAAATATCTGCTGAAAAGTATTTTAAATGACAGTATTATTCAGTTCAGTGGAAAAAACACTTTATCAAAATGTATAATGAGATCAGAAAAGCCTTTCTTCCCCTCTGTCCTGTTCGTCATCATCTGGTTGCTGACTTTTCCCAGCTGACTAGAAGTTGGTCATTTGAGTTCTTGGAACATGTTGATTCTTATTCCCAATGCCCACTCCTAGTCCACCCCAGCTCTTTGGGAGTAAGATGACTTTTTCGGCTTACCTGCTGACATGTGCTTTTGGAGAGCAGTGTCCACAGAACAGAAACCAGTATCCCCAAGTAAAGCTAAGTGCAAAGAACAATCTACCCTTCAAACCTCTTCCAGAAAGAACTTTGCTTAAGCTGTTTTGAACTGCACCTGAGCATCTTTTATCACCCCTCCTCTGACGTGCTTTAAAGGTCATTTTGTGTCATGGATTTCTGTGCTTATGTTAATATGAAAAGATTGACCAAAGATGAAAAGGCGTTACTGAAATTCTGTACCTATGTACTTAGTCAGGAATTGGAGAACCAACAAAGCCACTTTCCTGCTTTTGTTGCTTCACAGTAGTTCACATCTGTGTGCTAATGCTCTCTCCAGGGATTGCACAGCCACTGTGTTTTGAGATGATTTGCAGAAATGCAGCAGGTTAGAAACCTGTAGTGGTAGTGCCCAAGCAGTAGTGGTTTTCCACTTGCTTTCAAAGGTGCTTTGGCCTTGCATAGCCGGTGTGCATAAAATAACAGATCCTCGAGATTTGGAGTTTAGCACCTGTTGTGTACAGATAAAGAGTAGCATTGTATTGGAAAGCACGTGATGACTACGTACACTGCAAACGCACGAGCTTTGATTCTAAGAAGTAAGCAAATTAAAATATATTTAGACAAAAAGTGGTTAATGAAACATTTTAATCCTAAATCCACAGTTCCCCATCTAATAGTGGCCTGTTTAGAACTGAATTTGTGAAACTGGAGTCTGCTGAAGGAGAGCTCGTTCTTCTTTGATGAACCCTAGTGTCGTTGGTTGTTAAGATTTCTTCAGCCGTGACCGGATGTGCTTGATTTGGTTTTGTAAACGTTGGTCATTTATCTTTTAATCACAAGTAAAATTATTAGTCATTAGTTATCTCATTTGTGATATACTCCAAGGCAGTTTTCTTTGGCCAGGTCTTGCCTGTTCTATTATCAGGGTAATATAAATGCATGTCAGCGTTTTTATTAAAGCTATAACCAAGGCGTATTTTGACTTGGCAGTGACAGACTGGCTCTGCTCAGTACAGCTGTATCCAACTCCCCTCCGGTCAGTTATGCCTGTTCTGTGATTGTTGGCTGCGTGCACGGAGTTGTTGTTAGCAGGCCAAGGCTGAGCGCTTTTTCCCTGCTGAAGAGGGAAGGTGGTGTGCTGAGGGAAATGTGGGCTGCTTGAAGCTGTGGCCTCTCCAGAGTGTTTCACTCCTTCCTGTGGAACTCGGGCATCTCCCCCGCTCCTCCTCCTTATTTCATCCTTGGCACATTTTCCCTCAGAGCAAAAGGGTGAAGATCACCTTTGGATTCACCTGCAAGAACAAAAGCCACTACGGGATCATGATGTACCACAACAACCAGCTCATCAGATCCTATGAGAAGGTGGGCTGTCAAAGGAAGGTGAGTAGTTGGACTTGTCTTCTACCCCTTTTTATCTGGGAGACGGGAGAATGGGGCTTTGCAAAAAGCAGCCTTGTCTTAGATCCTTGCCTCTACATTGCACGGTGTCCAGAGTTGAACAAGGAGACCTGGTGTGTCCCTAGGATCAGATCAGTGTGTGCATCTGCACAATGGGTGCCTGTCCGGGTTTTAGGTAACTAGAGATGTCCAGCTACTGTTTAATACTGCTGTATCTGGAGGTGCTACCAGAGGATGGGCAGCCTGCCTCTCCTTCAGGGTGATTTCCAGAAGGGGATCTGCTCTGGCAGGATAGCCTGGACTCTGTTAGGAAGTGGTTGCTGAAGCATTTGCTTCTAGGTGTTATCTTGCAGCAGTATCTCAGAGCTATGGCATGCCTTGGAGGTGACCGTCTTTGCCACAGATAATTCTGGTCTGTTAGTTAAGCCAGCCTGTGCTCTGCTTTCTGGAAGAAAAAGCTTCAGTATTATATGCCCAAAATACCCTTGCAGGGGGGTTTGCCAGGTGTTTGTACCTCGTGTGCTGTTGGCATGCAATGCACAGGCCATGGTGTTGCCATCAACCTTTGTGTCAGGGGTTTGGGGTGTCAGTGCTCCCTGAAGGACTACTTTTTTTTAGTTCTGAGCAGAATTGGCTAAAGCATCTCCTTTGCTTCATTTCTGGCCCCTGGTGCAGGGAGGAGGTGTAGGTATGATTGGTGTAATTGAATGCAACTTCCTGAATCGAGCACACAACAAAGAGGACTTTGAAGAAGGCAAAGAGTACCAATAAGAGAGACCTGTGCCCGAGGCTGCTGCTTGGAGAGGGTTTCGCTGTGATACACCCTTTGTTCTGAGCACTGCACCTGTTCTTAGGTCTGTTTATTGTGAAGTAGCCCCAGATTGGCCCATTTTTTCCTTCTCTAGTGCCCCTAGAGAGCATGGAGAATTTTATTCTGAAAGTCTGGTGCAAACATATAGCCTTGGGCTAAGGAAAGGACACAGTCTCTGTGTTCCTCCAGCTCATTCCCTCAAGACTCCAGCCCTGAGGATACTCCTCCAAAATAAAACGGAGCCTGCATTCGTGTACACTTCAGCAGAGCCGCCCAAACTGGGAACACACCTATAAAGCCAAAAGAAAAAGTCAGATGCTCACGTGGAGCCTCCAGTTAAGGGGTGCAGCAGAAGCAGGCAACATCCTCCCTCCAGGCACTAGCCCCTGCTCTCCTGGGGGTGCAGCAATCCACACTTTGGGAAAGGCTGCACTTGGGGAAAGGGACCTGTAGCTTGAATTTTTTTATGATGATATTGGCCCATTTTTTTCAGCTGTGGGGTGGGTGATACAGAAGGGCTGCTAAGGTGCCAACCTAAAACCTGCAATCACAAGTCTAAGTCAAGTTCTTGGGGAACTTGGGGAAGGAGTTTGTGTTTGCCCTGGTTGTTCCTTGTGCTGCCTGTTGTGCCAGTGGGAGTTGCCCAGCTTCTTACGGAGTTCTTCCAGACAGATGATTGCTGTGGTGGGACAGAAGCTATTGGAAGGCGAAGATGGCACAGATGAACTTGGGAAACGTGGATGCAGCTTGCATGATAGCATAGGAACCAGTTTGCCACTGCTTTGATCTTTGCCAGCGTTAAAGGCCTGGGGGTTTCCCTTGGCCAAGGTGGGGTGGGAATGTACCACCAGGAGGAGCCGAGGCTGCCAAGGGGTGTCTGGACTCCTCCTTCCTATAGGGAAATGAGATTTGAACCTGTGGAGTTTGGCCCGGTGGTTACAGGGATGCCATACCATGGGCAGGGTGTCCCCGTGAGAGCAGAGACATGTTGGCTGCCCTGGACCATCCCATGTCCTGTGCCAAATGGGCTGGGATTGCTTTGGGGTCAGGTGGCAGCGCTTGTTCTGAACAGCCTTTCCTGGTGTTTGCTCCACACTTGAAATACTCAGACTGAGCATTGGTTTTTGCAGATGGAGACCAGACCAGACATGGGTATGATGTGAAGAGTGTCTGAAGTGGAGGAAGCTCCCTGACCCTACATTGTTACCAGAAAGCTGGTTTTGTCGTCTCCATCCCCTCCCCAAATACAAGTAGGAGACTCATGAATTGAGTGCTGGATGACTTTTTGCGTGCCATCTCATCTCATCTTTGAAATACAAATGGTTTCTGTCAAATGCTTGACTTCCTGCTATCGTTCCACATACCTGTGAATACAGATCTTCATTAAAATAGGTGATGTTAAAATAGGGACATGTTTCAGTACATGCTTGCTTTGGTCACTGCCTGACCCCTTTTTTCCTGATGCCTTTAAAATAACACTCTTTGATCTAGAGGAATCTGGCCATTTAAATATAGTGCTTCTGAAGGATTGGATGGGTTTTAGTTAAATGTGCTGATTGAATTACAGTCAAATGGCAAAACTGCTAATAACAAAATACAGTTTCTTGTTGAGATCTCCTGACCTGCTGGAGAATAAAAAAGTTTTCCTTCCTTACCGAGAATATCAGCTCAAATGCTAAGCAGAAAGAACTGGTAGAGTTGGGACTGAGACCAACTGTCTGGATGCTACTGAGGGAAAATCCTTTTCTCTGATCAACAAATTCCAGGATGCAACCAGTTTATACAGCTGAATTGCTGTTATCTGTTGAAGTTCAGCATTCCACAAAGATAGATAAGATAGCCTTCATGATCAACTATTAAGGAAATCAGTTAGCTCTAGAGGCTGAGGAGTAAGTTTTTATAGCCTAGAAACTAGATAATAAAGCCACTTTTCAACAGAGGAGGAAGCTAATACAGGACTGCCTCCATCTAAAGCTCTTTGATACATTAAAAGTCAATGGTCTGGAAGAGGAAGCAGCACAGATTACAGATGGGAGACAGTTCTTTGTCAAGCCAGACAAACGGGCTGTGGGATTCATGAGTACCTTCAGACTGACCTTGTTCAACTGAGCAATCAGCAAGGTGGTGGCAGACCAGAGCAAGCAAGGTACTGTAGAAGGAGTAATTAGGATTGCCTAGGTGTACAGATAATTTCTAAATTAGCAGTATCGACTGAGGATGGAGACCTAAGAATGTGTTGGACAGTTCAGTGAAAACACCTGTGCAGTACTTGTGGCTGCCAGAAAAGTAATAGTTACATTCTGTTTTAAACCTGTACATGCAGTACTTTTATCTTGTGCTTCGGGACATCACTGCAAATGTATAGTGGTGTGTAGAGAACTTTTCCTATAGACTGTTTCCATGTAACTCATGACTGTGACAGTTCCTTTCCTTTGAAGCAGCTGGTATTAGTGGTCTATGCTGCCCACATGGGTTACGATGCATTTCTCTGTCAACTCAAAACTGAAGCAGAAATGACTGGCATAATATGTGGTGTGCTGAACTGTGTCTCATAGTTTGTACTTCATTTCATCTGTGTTATTTTGGGATTCATGTGGCTTTTTTTCCCTTTAGCCCTTAAGCACAGTGTTTGATTCTTCAGCTGTTCTCTTGATGATCTTCTATCTGAAATCCTAAAGGATTAGAGACATTGCATAACATGTCCAAACCATGGAGATTTTTGGTGGGAGAAGGGAGTCAAACTGTTCTTTCACACACTCAGGCATGATTGACTGCTCTTGTTGCAGAAGATG